TTTTTGGAGCAATCTTCAATAATCACCTCCTCCTCTTCCACTCTTGCCTCTTCGTTCTGTTGACTGTGTGCACTATAAGCACTGTAATCAAATCCACTTCTTTCCGACTAAACTCCACCTCTACCAACCAATTGGAGAAATAAATCAATTTTCTTTTCAACTCAATTAAAGTGCTCCGACTTCTCACTTCGCAACCTCTCCTCAACTCCTTTCAGTTCTTATTTTATTATGTTTATGACATAATCATAAGAAGTGGGTGATAGTCGTCCAGTTGGTTTAGACGAATGCCGATGGCTAGACACCGATGGTCGATCTAAAGTCTTAGGACATAGTGGATCACCTTTTCTTGATGAAGCATCATCACTCTCAGAATTTTGTCAACCATCATTCTCAAACGCAACATTATCCAGGTTAAGATCAGTATCATCAACAAAAGACCCGGATTCCTACCAAAATATCTCCAATAGTTCATCATCTGTAGGATTTAGGTTACGGTGTACCTCAATCTGAAAAAACAATAATGTATAATTATTTAGTCAATTGTTTAGTTATAATTTCAATACACTATGTAGATTTTACTAAACAAAACTCACATATGACGATTTGAAATACGTGCAAAGTATTTCCCCCTAAGTTGCTTGCACATTTCCCAACCTATCATTCTTGGAATTCTAGAATCATTTGTCACACGATCGAATCTCTTTCCAATGCTGTAAATTGCTTCAAACGCCTAAATCTGTACAATCAAACATTTAATTTTCAGTAACATAATTAAAAAAGTGTCATGTATAAAATAGTTTTAGAATATTACCATTATTGCAAGGGGAAATCCATGCAGAGAATACGGATATCGCTGAGTATTTGTATAATTCTTCAACATTTCTCCCAACGTACGCTTGAACTCCCTAATAGTGTACTCATACGACTTTTTCCCCCATGAATAGTTGTTAAATCTATCAACGTCATCCACCAAATAAAACCACCACGGGTTAATATACGTATTCTCCTCTGTTGACAAAATTACATACACCAATATAACGAGGAGGCCCAACTTATATTTATCGCTCTTA